GCATTGAGAATTCATAATTAATAATATTGAGAAAGCCCCCCCCCCTCCTCCTCGCTAATTTTTCAGTGAAAATTCACTACCTCCCTTCGTTTGGAAGATATCATTGGAAAACTTACCGACGCGCTAAGTCGACTACAGGAAAGGGGGACTGTACATCGAGGATGCAGTACCCCGCATATACGAACCCCCCTCCCATAAATAAAATCACCCATATAAACCTCTCCTTTTAATTAACTAAGCCCTCTCCCCCTTAAAAACTCCTTATATATGAAACCCCCTTCTTCACATCTGAAACTCCCGACATTTGGGCACCGCTTCCTATGGAGCATTTACGCCTTTAAATATCGCAGTCGTAATTTTTTAGTTCAATCAGAAAATTTTTCAAAATTAATAGAAATTAAGCATTGGTTTTAGAAAATATTTGTTCTTAAAAACAATCCCTGAATTGGTTAGTTTTTATGATCCCACTAAGAATAAAGCTTAAGAACAGGAGTTTCTAAATTCTATAAACTACACTGAGAAAAAAAAATTCTAAGAAATAGAAATTCTATGATTGATCCAAATCGTTCATCGATTGAATAGTCGCAAAAGAAAATGCTATTGTAAGACACAAATATCGATTTGAACTAAACCAAAATTGGATTGTATGAAATCGATTTTGTTATAGTATAAACGCTTCGGATTTGGCGCAAATAATTTTTTTTTCACAATTGCAATGGAAAAATAATCAGTTCAAATGATGAAGAATTGCGTTTGTCGTAAACAAGAAACTGCGCTTCGCGAAAGTCTCGCATCAATGAGTATCCAACAATATGTTCCTCATAGGCCAAATGAATATTTTATTGCATCTATGAATTCTGCTTTCAATCGAACAGATATTCTTTTGCGGGATATCGTGACGCTGATAAATTGGATAATTATATGCTTTATTCGAAGAAGATATCTGATAATACAGACATTGCTTTGTATGTACTGAAAAGTAGATAGCAACAAAAAAAAAGTTTAGACAACTGATCTCATTGTTTTTCAATCGAAAACATTAAAATTAAATCGATATTTGTTTCTTACAATAGCATTTTCTTTTGCGACTATTCAATCGATGAACGATTTCGATTAATCATAGAATTTCTATTTCTTAGAAATTTTTTTCTCAGTGTAGTTATTCATTATATAAATAATATTTTTTCTAATCAATCATTTCTATATATAAATTCAATTACTAACGGTGAGTAGTTGCCCGAAATGGCAATCAATATATTGATTGTGGCGTAATTGAATAGTGGAGGGGGGGGGGGTATCCTGAGTAGTACAATGCTGATCGAGTGGTAGTGACGAGAAAGCGCAACAAATATGTGGATTATGATGCTCGACTCAATGCAGTTGTTTCTGGTTGGAATGAAGATGGTAACATCATGGATTATTTGCGTGGAGTTGCCCACAATGTTAATTCTTGAATTGTTTTATGCGACAAGGCAGTTATTTTTTGGAAAACAGTGATTAATGAGAAGTGATAACCGACTTAGATACAGTTTGTTTTCATAGATAAGAATAATAATTGTGTGGTGTAATTTATTGAAAAATGTATTGTTTATATTTTGTTTTGTGATGAATAAGTTGATTCATTTAATTCAATGATTTCATGAAAGATGTTTGTTAATATCGTTCCGCATGTTTTTGATACTGTTCTTATACTAAGCCAAACATGTTGGTAATTGGTAATGTATTTAAAAATATTATGTTATAACTGTGATGAAATAGATTGTGATGAATTGTATCATAATATTATAAAAAGAAATGATGAATTGTGCCATAATAAGTAGTGGTGGAATCAGAATTTTCAGGTTTTGGAAACTAATTTCTAGATTTTAGAAACTCCTAAAAAACGCGTAAACAGATGCTGATGTATATAAGGTTCAAACTGGAGTCCTTTACGGTTAAATACTTAAAAGGGTCAAATTATGATAACTGTCAAATGAGAGAGATAATTAGAAGGATGACAAATTCTCAATTTCTAGAAATCATCTAAGAGATAAAGAATCATCATTTTTATATTGATAAACACAAATTCATTCACTTCCATTCTTGGGAACGCTGTGAACTCATTATGTATTGATTATTAATAAACAGGGTGTTTACCATGAGTTTCATAGTTAAAGAAAATTGGATAACCAAATAAGAATGTGATATATTCGGACGGAGGTCTGATGTATCGAATAAATTTTCGAATTATTCTCTCACGACTTACAGACTCCTTGCGTGAGGGAATAATTCCTTATGGATTCTTACCTTCGGCTAGACAATTCTCGCTGTATCGAAGCGTAGACTTTTCCAGTGCAGAAATCTTGTTAGGTAGTATTGAGTAATTTCAAATAAATTGAGGGTGATAATTTATTGTGACGCGTTCCTTTTTCATCGTATGTTTATGGACCCCACGAATAAAAATTCTAATTTGATTCCTTCATCGGATACAAAGTAATATTTCAAATTTGATTGGAATCTTCATTATACTTAAAGTCAAATTTCTAAAATTCACTCTTTTTAAATTTTACTGAATCAACGTACGGAACGGAATTCGATGCTGAACGAAAAAATATCGTTGTATTCAATTGATTAATTTGGAAAATTTATTACCGAATTATTAAACTGAAATTACGAGGGAAGTTGATGATTTTACAAATAAAATATAGCTCGGGACAAAGTTTAGCTCACCCCGTTTGTTGTAGAATTTTTTTAAACAATTGTTATTGACAGTAGATTTGCTCTGGGTAGATTACATTCGCCGACGATAGCCGATGATCTGTTATCTCCACACTGGTCAAGGGCGTACTCAAGATGAATCGAACGGATGTAGTATAATAGTCACAGCGAGAATAAAACTATCAGTTTGGCAGTGTCAATAGATCCGGTTAACCTTCAGTCAATTTCACTAATTCCGCAAATTGTTCACAAAATTATATTCCACACAGTATTGTCACTAAGATAAGTAATTAAACTTTCAGGTGTAAAGTTGGGCATTTCTGTTAGAGTAAATTTTGTTGATACAATTTTTCTTATTTATTTATACACTTCAAATGTGAGTCCAACTAGTGACACAAGGTGTATGATACACTCTATCTACGACTACGAAGGTGAGCGTAATTGTTGTATAAAAGGAATACATTTTTTTTTTCAACTGCGAAAATCCCGCGGTGGATACACCGCGCGATTAACCGATCGGTTAAGTCTGTTTGGAGGAAGCGAACTAGGCGTTGGGGTGTGAAACCGAAGTAACGCAGAAGTAGTAGATAATAATTATTCGACCTCAGTTCGAGGGTGCCTGACCCTCCTCCTGGTTTACCCGGTTGCGATGCGCTCTGGAGGAAGCTTAGATCAGCGTTCCTGAGTACACGTGCAAATCAGTGTGCGGTTTTAGAATAATGTTGAAGAGAAATGTGTTGAGCTCCGAGTTTTATCACGTCAAGGTTGTGTGAATCGACGGAAAGAGGGAGCACTGAATTTTATAAAATTCACGTACAAATTATATTTATAACAAATGCAAACTCATGCATATTAGAGTCGCCCACGAAATATATATTTCCCAATTTCACTGTTCTCCTGTCTCAAAACGATAGTTCATGATATGAAGAAGCGATGTAAATTTTTTCAAATTTTTAAAACGCTTCTAACAGGCCTCAACAGCATTTCAAAATTTAAGAAAATATTTGACCCACTGGCAGTTCATAGCTGCGTAGTTTGGCGAAAAGTCAAATGATTTTATGACGGTTTTCTCGGAGGTCACAAGTGTCGACCCAAGACCGTGTGCTAGGCTTAGGCCATAAATCATAGGTCTACCTTCGTCCGCCCTCCCAACCACGGGGAGTGAGGCATTTGAGAATCTTTCCATTTGCCCAAAGAAAATTTAAATGAATTTTAAAATTTTGTTTTCAAATCTAGGAATAATTTTGACAATTCAGACTGACAAATATGCATAAAAAAGGATAATTCATTAGCGAAGTCGTCAATCGGTTTAGTCAATTTTAGTCCAGCCCTAGTTTTTTGATAATATCTCAGAATCTACGCTAGATAGCAGAATTTTGATAAAAACCGTATTTGATGAGGAACTAGGGTAGGGTGGATTGGGAATTTTTGTGGAAGTAAAAGGGGTGAAAATAAAAAGTCACCGTTATAAAAACCACTATATTTCGTGGGATCGCACCACGTTGTTAAGATATGTACACTATATACACAGGCTTTAGAGTTTGTTGAGTTTCCCACAATATTAATCACTGAATTTAATTCACTGTTAATTGTCCTTTGTAATAGTCTTTCGTTGATTAACTGATAAAATACTGAATTGTAATTGAGTTGATGTACTGAACAGAAAATGTGAACGCGAAAATGCGTTGGCTCACTCTATCATTTCTGAATGCTAACTGAACTTGGCTTCTCTTCCGGGTGTCTCGTTGACCCGATGACTGTTGACCCGAAGTGTCACGAAGATTTTCGAAGGTGGCCGAATATGTGACCACTGATTTGCGGGATTTTTCTTTGCATTTCAAACACTCCGGGGGCATTCATCATTAGGGATGATGAATCTATTAGTCGTTGTGTTGATCGTCTTCATCATGGTAGCTTTCGTCAGCTGGGTTGATTTGCTGTTGATCATCTGCTGGAGGTTCTTCTGGTGCAGGTGCATCTGTTGGTAGCAGACAGAGCTTGGTGATTGGTCTGTCATACGTCGTATACGTGATCGTAATGCGTTGAATGTCTGGAGACCCATTTGGGTGTCATGGCACTTCGACCCTTGCTGTTCGGATTGTGGCGATCCTGGTGAGCCCATCGGCTCCTGGTTTGGTCGCGATGACTCTTCAGATTGGCCAATGTGATGGTGGATAATTTTCTTCCACCATTAGCACCATGTCACCGACCTTGATGTTCTCTTCTCGATGTTTCCACTTGTAGATGGCTTGATAGCGCTGAAGACACTCTCTGGACCACCTGGCCCGGAACTGTTGAACTTTCTAGGTTACCAGGTTCCATCTCTGTAGTTTGATGGGGTTCTCGTTGATGATGGATGGCTCTGGTATTAGTTGAAGAGGCTCGCCGATCAAAAAATGACCAGCGGTTAGCGCTTGTAGATCGTCTGGGTCGTCGGACATGAGGCATATTGGCCTCGAGTTCAGACAAGCCTCTATCTGAATTATCATACTGTTGAGTTCCTCGTACGTGAGTGTTGTTGATCCTAGAACTCTTTTCAGGTGATGCTTCGTTGATTTGACTGCTGCTTCCCATTTACCACCGAAATGGGGTACTCGTGGTGGTGAGAAGCTCCATTGAGTCCCATGTGTGGCAAGGGCTGCTTGAACTCGTTGATTTTCTTCTGATGGTTGACGATAAATCTTCTCTAGGATGTCAGCTGCTCCAAAGAAGGTGGTGGCATTGTCACTGTACATGACAGCTGGAATACCACGTCTCCCGGTGAATCTCTTATATGCTCCGGTGAATGTTGCTGTCGTCTGTCTGTTGCCTAACTCTAGGTGAACTGCTGAGGTGATGAATCATACAAACACTGCGATGTGTACTGAACCTGGTTGAGCGTTCGTTGGTCGCCATTTCAAGATATCAAATGGCCCTGCATAATCCACTGCTGTGTGGAGAAATGCTCTTGCTGGTGAGATTCTAGTTGCTGGAAGTTGACCCATCTGCTGTTGAGCTAATTTTCCTCTGTGTCTGGCGCAGACAGCACAGCGCAGAATGTAGGCTCTGACTGTACCTCTGCCACCGATTATCCAACACCATTGACGAGTGTGGGCCAAGGTGAATTGAATTCTTCCATGTAGTATTTTTCGGTAAGCTTCTTCAATCATTAGCGTTGTAAATCGAGACTTTCGAGGCAGGATTATCGGTGGATTCTCGTCAGGATTTAATTGGGAGTTCTTGAGGCGTCCCTCAAGTCCCATGATCCCTTGATGGTCTAGTACTGGTGTGAGATTTGCTAGTTGATGATTTCTCGGAAGTTGATGATTTCGGTGAAGTGCTCGCAGGTCTGCTGCAAAGTATTGATGCTGTGTCAACTTCGCCCAGAACAGCCTAGCGTCGTTGAGTTCTTCTGTTATCAGGACAGGTCCCGGGGACACTGGCTGCCTCCTGAATCGGTCAATTGCTCTGTTGATTGTTGATGTGACTGCCAGTAATTTCTCTAATTTGCTGTATCTGTTGAGGAGCTCACCGACTCGATTTACTTGAAGAGCAACTGGATGTGCTGGCGTTGGTTTCACTTCCTTTGCGACTTCTGGGTTGTCCAGTGCTGTTGCGTCGATTGATGATCGTGGCCAATCATCAGGATCCTGATTGATCCACTCAGGTCCTGACCACCACAGTGATCTGCTAGTTGATTTGGAGTTATGCCTCGTGAGTCACAATCTGCTGGATTTTCTTTCCCACTGACGTGTCTCCAGGTGGCAGTTGGGAAGGTTTCTTGGATTTTCACCACTTTGTTGTGAATAAAATTCTTCCACCTTGACGCGTGACTTCTACTCCAAGCCAGCGTCACTGATGAATCCGACCAGAGATAGGTTTCTACCTGGTCGAGTTGAAGCATCTGGAGAAGTGCTGCTGTTAGTTCTAGACGCGGGATGGTCATGGGTTTGATGGGTGCTACTTTTGTTCTTGCACCCACCAAGATTGTTGATGTTGGCTCGTTGATGTTCTCGGTACGAATGTACACTACTGCGCTCATGGCTGCTTCTGAGGTATCTGCGAACCCGTGAAGTTGGATGTTGGATGTCTCTGTTGATAATCGTAGCCATCGAGGTACAGATAGCTTATCTAGATCGTTGAGGTCCTTTCTGAATGTCGTCCATCGTTCTTTATAATTGTCTGGAAGTTGGTCATCCCAATTCACCTTGATTTTCCATAGCTCTTGAAGGAGGATTTTCTCCTGGACGACGACTGGAGCGATGAAACCCAGTGGATCAAATATCTGGGCTATCTCGGATGAGAGCACTCTCTTGGTGATCACTGCTGAGTTGAACTTCCTGGATTTGTACCTGAATGTGTCGCTAGCTTGATGCCAACACGATCCAAGTAGCTTCGTGATGGATTTCTCAAATTGAACCATCGCCTCCGTTGATAGTCCTAGTTCATGCAATATCTCTGGGCAGTTACTGCTCCACTTCTGGAGAGAGAAACCCCCTGCATGACACAAACCCTGTAGTTGAGTTGCTATTTCCTTGAAATCTTCTGCTGATTCTGCACCGCCGTAAATATCGTCTACGTAACGACCATTGGTGATTGTCTCTACTGCTGCTGGAAAGCGGTCCCCTTCATCTTCAGCCAATTGTTGAAGTACTCTGAGTGATAGCCATGGTGAACAATTGAGATCGTAGGTGACTGTGGTCAACTGGTAGATGATTTTTTGTTGATTTGCATCAACCCACAGTATTCTCTGTAGATCCCAATCATCCTCATGGACTCGTATCTGTCTGAACATTTTGATTATATCGCTGCCAAAAACGAGCCTGTACTTTCTCATCGTCGTTAGCACGTTCATGACTTTGTAGAAGCTCTAGAAGTTGTTAATTTTTAGATTCCCGTACAGCTGATAAGGAGACATTGGTTGAACAAACGTTGCATTGGATTGGTCCTGATAAAAGCCAACCGAATGCGGTTCGTTGGCCAACGACTTTACTCATTGTTGACCTGACAACTTCATCCTTGATAATCCGCCCATAGTTGTCAGCCCCTATGATAGCATCTATTGGTCCAGGATGAGGCTGAAGCTGCCGGGAGCAGTTCAGCGGGAGATGGGTATAGTTTGTGAGGCGGACTGTACGGCCCCCACCGTAGCCACTCGCTCAACGCTACATCGGTAGCCACGAGTTTAAACCTCCTCCCAGACAAATCAAATGATAAAAAACAATCGAACAATTTTTTTTAATTATTATTATTTCTTAATGTATGACGAGGGTGGGGATTGATTTCTCGAGGAGGAATTTCATGATATTTTTTTTATTCTTATAAGTTTTTACGCGGTCAATAGGGGTGCAATAAACGCAGACACCAATCGATGTCATTTTATTTTTAATGTGTCCCTAAGGGGTTAGGGGACTCTGTCCAACAAAAATTATCGCGGTGCACCTATTAGGGTATTTTTAATTAATTTTTTACGATTCATTTCTCTCAAGTTCCGGTGAACAAAATGGTGATGCACGGATACGCATGCACCAACCAACCCCATTCTATTTGGAATATGTAGCTAGGGAGTTGGGGGACCCTCCCCAACAAAAATTATTACGGTGCGCTAATTAGGGAATTTTTAATTAATTTTTAAAGATTCCTTTTGTGTAACTTCGGGTGAATGCGGTAGGGGTGCACGGACACGCATGCACCAACCGACTTCATTCTACTTGAAATATATTATTGAGGGGTTGGGGGACCCTCCCTAACAAAAATTGTGACGGTGCGCCAATTAGGGGATTTTTAATAAATTTTTCTAAATTCATTTTGTGTAACTTCCGGTGAATGCGGTGGGGGTGCACGGACACGCATGCATCAACCGACTCCATTCTACTTGAAATATGTACCTAGGGGGTTGGGGGACCCTCTCCAACAAAAATTGTGACGGTGCACTAATTAGGATATTTTTAATTAATTTTTTAAAATTCATTTCTCCCAACTTACGATGAACAAAATGGTGGTGCACGGACACGCATGCACTAACCAACTCCATTCTGCTTGGAATATATTACTGAGGGATTGGGAGACCCTCTCCAATAAAAATTGTGACGGTGCACTAATTAGGGGATTTTTAATTAATTTTTTAAAATTCATTTCTCCCAACTTACGATGACCAAAATGGTGGTGCACGGACACGCATGCACCAACTGACTCCATTCTGCTTGGAATATGTTACTGAGGGGTTGGGGGACCCTCTCTAATAAAAATTGTCACGGTGCGCCAATTAGGGGATTTTTAATCAATTTTTCAAAATTCATTTCTCCCAACTTCCGGTGAACAAAATGGTGGTGCAAGGACACGCATGCACCAACCAACTCCATTCTGCTTAAAATATATTACTGAGGAGTTGAGGGACCCTCTCCAATAAAAATTGTGGCGGTGCACTAATTAGGATATTTTTAATTAATTTTTTAAGATTCATTTCTCCCAACTTCCGGTGAACAAAATGGTGGTGCAAGGACACGCATGCACCAACCAACTCCATTCTGCTTAAAATATATTACTGAGGAGTTGAGGGACCCTCTCCAATAAAAATTGTGGCGGTGCACTAATTAGGATATTTTTAATTAATTTTTTAAGATTCATTTCTCCCAACTTCCGGTGAACAAAATGGTGGTGCACGGACACGCATGCACCAACCGACTCCATTCTACTTGGAATATATGCCTAGGCGGTTGGGGGACTCTCCCCAAAAACATTATCGCGGTGCACCAATTTGGGGATTTTTAATTAATTTTTCAAGATTCATTTTGAGTAACTTCCGGTGAATGCGGTGGGGGTGTACGGACCCGCATGCACCAACCGACTCCATTCTACTTGGAATATATGCCTAGGCGGTTGGGGGACTCTCCCCAAAAACATTATCGCGGTGCACCAATTTGGGGATTTTTAATTAATTTTTCAAGATACATTTTGAGTAACTTCCGGTGAATGCGGTGGGGATGCACGGACACGCATGCACCAACTGACTCCATTCCGCTTGGAATATATTACTGAAGGGTTGGGGGACCCTCTCCCACAAAAGTTGTGACGGTGCACTAATTAGGATATTNCCAACCGACTCCATTCCACTTGGAATATATTACTGAGGGGTTGAGGGACCCTCTCCAATAAAAATTGTGACGGTGCACTAATTAGGGTAATTTTAATAAATTTCGAAAGATTCATTTTATGTAACTTCCGGTGAATGCGGTGGGGGTGTACGGACCCGCATGCACCAACCGACTCCATTCTACTTGGAATATATGCCTAGGCGGTTGGGGGACTCTCCCCAAAAACATTATCGCGGTGCACCAATTTGGGGATTTTTAATTAATTTTTCAAGATTCATTTTGAGTAACTTCCGGTGAATGCGGTGAGGGTGCACGGACACGCATGCACCAACTGACTCCATTCTGCTTGGAATATATTACTGAGGGGTTGGGGGACCCTCTCCAACAAAAATTGTGACGGTGCACTAATTAGGGTATTTTTAATAAATTTTTGAAGATCCATTTTGTGTAACTTCCGGTGAATGCGGTGGGGGTGCACGGACATGCATGCACCAACCGACTCCATTCCATTTGGAATATGTGCCTAGGGGGTTGCGGGACTCTCCCCAACAAAAATTATAGCGGTGCACTAATTAGGGGATTTTTAATGAATCAAAAACCATTCGATTCTTTGACGTATTCCGCGTATTTTCCCGAAGTGTGTCTCCATAACTTCTCAATATTTTTTTTGCTATAGACTTGCAAAGTGTCTAAGAAAAAATAAAAAAAACCATTTGACCTTTTCGTTAAATTCGAAAAGTAAACTTATAAATTCATTAAAAATCGACTAATTAGTTCACCGTCACAATTTTTGGTAGAGAGGGTCCCCCAACTCCTCAGTAACATATTCCAAGCGGAATGGAGTCGGTTGGTGCATGCGTGTCCGTGCACCACTATTTTGTTCACCGGAAGTTGGGAGAAATGAATCTTAAAAAATTAATTAAAAATCCCCTAATTGGCGCACTGCGATAATTTTTTTTGGGGAGGGTCCCCCAATCCCTCAGTAATATATTCCAAGTAGAATGGAGTCGGTTGATGCATGCGTGTCCGTGCACCCTCACCGCATTCACCGGAAGTTACACAAAATGAATCTTTAGAAATTTATAAAAAATACCCTAATTAGTGCACCGTCACAATTTTTGTTGGATAGGGTTTCCCAACCCCTCAGTAACATATTCCAAGTAGAATGAAGTCGGTTGGTGCATGCGTGTCCGTGCACCGCCACCGCATTCACCGGAAGTTACATAAAATGAATCTTTCGAAATTTATTAAAATTACCCTAATTAGTGCACCGTCACAATTTTTATTGGAGAGGGTCCCTCAACCCCTCAGTAATATATTCCAAGTGGAATGGAGTCGGTTGGTGCATGCGTGTCCGTGCACCACCATTTTGTTCACCGGAAGTTGGGNATGCGCGTCCGTGCACCACCATTTTGTTCACCGGAAGTTGGGAGAAATGAATCTTAAAAAATTAATTAAAAATACCCCAATTAGTGCACCCTCACAATTTTGCTTGGATAGCGTCCCCCAACCCCTCAGTAATATATTCCAAGCGGAATGGAGTCGGTTGGTGCATGCGTGTCCGTGCACCACCATTTTGTTCACCGGAAGTTGGGAGAAATGAATCTTAAAAATTTCATTAAAAATCCCCTAATTGGCGCACCGCGATAATTTTTATTGTGGAGGGTCCCCCAACCCCCTAGGCACATATTCCAAGTGGAATGGAGTCGGTTGATGCATGCGTGTCCGTGCACCCCCACCGCATTCACCGGAAGTTACAGAAAATAAATCTTGAAAAATTTATTCAAAATCCCCTCATTGGCGTACCGTCACAATTTTTGTTGAAGAGGGTCCCCCAACGCCTCAGTAAAATATTCCAAGAGGAATGAAGTCGGTTGGTGCATGCGTGTCCGTGCATCCTCACCGCATTCACCGGAAGTTGGGAGAAATGAATCGTGAAAAATTAATTAAAAATACCCTAATAGGTGCACCGCGATAATTTTTGTTGGACAGGGTCTCCTAACCCCTTAGGGACACATTAAAAATAAAATGACATCGATTGGTGTATGCGTTTCTTGCACCCCTATTGACCGCGTAAAAACTTATAAAAATAAAAAAACTATCATGAAATTCCTCCTCGAAAAATTATTCCCCACCCTCGTCATACATTAAGAAATAATAATAATAAAAAAAATTGTTCGATTGTTTTTTATCATTTAATTTATCTGGGAGGAGGTTTAAACTCGTGGCTACCGATGTAGCGTTGAGCGAGCGGCTACGGTAGGGGCCGTACAGTCCACCTCACAAACTATACCCATCTCCCGCTGAACTGCTCCCGCCAGCTTCAGCCTCATGCGCCATGTCTGAGATACTGAGGATCGGCTAGTTGAAGATTTCTCAATGAGCCGATTTCTGCTGATGAACAAGAGAATGGTGGGCAGTATTGCTGTGAGTTTCTTTAGGATGTGGGCGTTGATTGGCACTAGCTGTTGCCCGTTGATTGGTTGAAGAATAACTGACATCATTCCTTTGGTTTGTCCTGAGCTCACTCCGCCAATCCCAACCAACTCCAATGTTGATGATCTTCATTGGAGATGCAGTTGCTGGACTGGTTTCTCGGAGATGAACGAAACTTCTGATCCTTGATCGATCAATGCTCTTGTCTTGATCGAAATTCCTTTAGGTGAATTTACTCTCATTTGTGCTGTTGCTAACAGCACTAATTGTTGATCTGCTTCTGATGACTGGTAGAGTTGATTGGCTGGCTCTGATGTCTCACTGACGCTCTGATTGTTGAGGTTCACTGATACCGTTGATGTACTGGATTTATCGCTTATCTGCTTATCTGTTTACTTGCTCGTTGATCCACCGTCAGCGATCTCTCGTTGCAACGTCTGGGTATCAGGGTGGTGCTGTAAATACTC